TTTCTCGGAACTACTTTTTTCGAGCTGGCGGTAAGGATGTCTCGAGTTCTAATTAACCGATTTACTTCAAATTTGGAGAGGATCTTCTCTATACATCGCTTTATCGCATGGACCTTTCCCAAAACTATAACTTTTCATTTAGTATTTTTAAAAAATTCGGAATTGTTAAAAAAAACATAAAAAAAAATTTTTTTTTTTCAAACTGCCGCCATTCAAACAAAATTTTTTTTTTAACTTATCCAAGGTTCATACGATAGCGGCATCTATAATAATTAAGAATCTATCTATTTTTTATGCTTCAGATCACCAGGAGGGTTGGAATCATGCACGCCAGGATACCCTCTTTTTTTTTTGAGCTCCCACTTTGACTGCTCATAACTTTGTGAATTTTAATTTTTTTTTTAATAATTTTTTTATGTAATAATAAAATATCAATAAACAAATGATAAAATATCGATAGTAAAAATATTATTTGTTTCCTTTATACAGCGCTTCAAAAACCGGACGAAATTGATACCTTTACAGTAAAATACCCCCTTAAAAAAGCTCACGGACTCTGGTTAACCTGACATCGTGCAGTAACGATGTTCATTTTCACTTGAAAACATAAATCAAAAACATGTTTCCAATTGAAAATAGGCCATTTTGTTTTGTTTGTTTTAAAATGACATGATAAAAGAGAATGTAATATTTTTGTATTCAAATTTACAATCCCAAAAAATTAATTCATAAAATAGTTTCTACTGACAGATAGAGTTCCCATGCAAATTATTTAATAGTTTCTTTCATATCCACTAATGGTTGAAACGTATGGAATAGTATACTATTCCATTCTTTATAAAGATGTTTAAAAAATCTGTACTTCCTCTTTTTTACTTGATGTTACGCCTTTCCAAAATTTATTCATTTATTTCAACATCAAATTTAACTACTATATACTTACATATATATAAAGTGCAGAAATATAATAAAAAATATTTATTTGCAGAGTTTAAAGTAAAATTGCGTTTTAAGATGCGCAACATCTATTTGTCAATAAATCTTAAATTTTAGCAAAATTCATTGTAACTACCATATCCTAATTTTGCAGTATTTAGGTACCATTCTTTCAATAATATAGTCAATATTAAATTAATATAGCTTTTATTTTAAAAAATCGTTTTAATCACACGTTCCGTTCAAGTTATAAATTCTTAAATTTTCTAAAATTATGTATTTTTGAAGATTCCTCTCTAATAATTACACGAAAGCATATCATCGTAGTGTTAATTAGAAATGATTATGGAAAGGGACGATTGACAAATTAACTATAATAATTATAAATTTAAATGATAACTAATCATGAAAATGAAAAATATCGGATTTTGTTTATTGAATAATTTTATGTAGTGATTTAGAATTTAGTTAATAATATATATGTCAATTTTTAACAATTGTGATATAACTTATTTAAGAATTTTGAAGACCACATATAAATTTTCGGTTTTTTAGGCTTTTTATATTAATTACTGATTGGCCGAACTTTATGTTTGATTTTAAACTTGACCTTTTATTAGTTACGGTATTTGCTCTTGAAAAAATATTTTTTCAATTTTTTTTTCTGAATAACATTGCATTCAATTCGCTTAAATTGATTAAAATTGTCGAATTAATTCTTACCCTCTAATTTGATTTATATTGGCAAAATGTTCATTTGCTGAAGGTCTACAATATTTCTTGATAATTTATTTGATTTAAATATTAAAATAATCAGCATATCAATTTTATAAAAAGTACATTGTATTTATATGTAATATAAAATTAGATTACCTAGCAATCATTTTGAAAATTTGAAAAAATATCCTAATATATTTATAATACATAATCTAACTGACATTTTTACTTTTTAAACTAATTGAGAAGTGTAAGTTTAAGAAAATACTTATAAAATATAGAATCCTATAATTTAAATAATAACAAGTGAAACGGAACCAGGGTACTTGAGTTATAGAAAATATGCCAATTTCCGTTTTCTTATTATTGATTAACGAAAATTTAATCTACAAGAAATTATTAAACACTACTTCTTAAGACAAATTTTATTTAAAATTCTTTACCAAAACTTCATTCAATATTATAAAATATGTATTTTTGGTACAAATTAGTTAATGGACTTTATATTCAATTAATTAATTTAGGTTTGATACTATGCGCATATCAAATGATTTACTCATATCAGTATTTATAAAAAAATTCAGTATTTACTTTCATATCATATACTGCCTTATTTATTTAAATGAAATAGATTATACGCTAATAAAATTATTTCGTATTTTCTAGTAGTCTTCCCTTTTTCCAATTTAGGCAAATAATATTGCTAATCAATTGGTGCAATATTTTAAGTCAATTTTATATGTGTTAAGATATTTATAAAAAAATAGGTGCGATGTGTAAAATAATATATTATAGTAAAATAAATTTAAATTTAATATAAATTTATATTTAGTATGTAAAAATGAATTTTAATTTATATAACAAAGATCATACGGTATTGTAAAATTTCAAATTTAATCAGAGAGAGAATTAATTTTTATATATTAGAGAGTGGGTCAAATTATTTGGCCATTGGGGTACCTTGCAATTTGAAACTTGCAACCATGCAAAATTTCAACAAATTCTTATCAGATAATAATTAAATATATGAAGAATGTACAGTATTGAAAATTACTCGAAATTCGCTTTCGAGTTATGGTTACTTCAGTAAAGTTTCATGAAATGACCTATGCAATCAAAATCGACGGGTGCTCCGATGGTCAAAAAATTGACCCACCCCGAAGTATTATATATATATATATATATATATATATATATATATATATAAATTTTAGTTTATTTGATTTTATGGATTATTTTCAGTAATAATCAATGTACTAGAAATTTAATTCTCAAAAAGCAAAAATACTGATAAAAATTTAACCCTTATCATTATAAACGTAGATAATATTGATTTAACTAATATTTAACATATCATATTTATATTTATAAGGAAGCGTTTGAAGAACTATTGCACTACTGTAAATAAATTCAATATATACTTATATGTAACCATTGAAAATTTAAGATTATCTTTAAAAATAGCAAACTTAACCTATCATACATTTGATTCTAGTTTTTTTTAATAAAAATATTTTGTATGAAAGATACTCAATATAATTCAATAGTTAAGTTTAGATAAAATAGACAAATTTGTGCAGGAAGCATTTGGAAACGTTTTGTATTCTATTGCTTTTATCTTCCTTGTTATTGAAATCCATAATAATATAATCAGAAATGATTTAAAACTATCTGTATAATAAAGCACATTTTAATATAAATGGAATGTTTCAAATTTGAAGGCTTATAGAATATTTTTTATAAGAAAATTGAAAATTCACACACTTATTAAATTGTGAGTATAAAATGTTATACATCTGATGTAAGTATTTTAAATATTTGTATGTATACATATGTATACTAATATATCGAATTATCCTTCTCCAAACTCAGAAACAAATAGAATAAAGAAAAAATATGTCGTATGTGACACGTTTTATATGAATTATTATTATTATAGGTTCCTTGTCCCAATTAATGTCCATTATGTAAGAGCGCGACTTTGCAAATATTATGAACATCATAAAAATCTATAAACATATATCTTACTTATTGTTTATAAAAGTTTATATGAAATGTCATAATTGCAAAACTTATCTCATTTTATTTGTATAAATTTTATAAATACAGTTAAGCTGACTGAACAAGCTTATATGAAAAGTTTGATCAGCAATATTAACACAAATAGAATTTATTAAAAAGCACATATTGTACATAAATAGGTAAGACAAATTGTAAAAATTGTATTAGTAAGTAGCAAAAGTATTAGAGAGTTTGATTTGAGTTGTTTCATCCATTATATGAAATTTATAAATCATATATAAAGTGTAACTATTAAATTACAAGATTAATAACATACTAGTATAAACATTATTTTCTTTTCCTACAAAGCTGATATTGCACTTGGACACTGAGAAATTTGTGTCTTTGTTAAACAAAAATTATTTCTAATCCTATACTTCATGTTGTTTCTTTTACAAAATAAATAAAATTGCACAGTGCCAATTAACGTGGACCATTTTGAATGGCTCTTTGATGAATGTGAAAGCATTTGCAATACCATGAAGAATAAACCAAAATAAAACATTGTTCGAGGTAATATTCACAAAAAGTTTCTATTAATAATATATGTACTGGAATTGTTTATTTTGAGACCATTTTGTTTGTATGTTGTAACACATTCAATTAAATATCAGTACAAAATATTTCATACAGAATTTGTATCACGTTATATATTGTAATAATATTAACAGCCAACTTGAAACGTAAACTATATTCTCAGTCGTTATTTAAATACAAGTCTATATTTTATGAATTCAATCCCATTGAAACTTTTAAAACTGAATTTTAAAATTTATTGAAAACAAAATCTGTGCTTTCTTATTCTTGTTCTTTAATAGCGACATATGGTATATAGATTTATTTATTAGTAAAATATCAATGAAATATAACTTGACTTTTAGAATGCATTAATAGAAAAAATAGCAAATATTGATTGCATTGTATATGCACATTTTTAAAGGTAATAAATATTATTAATTTATAAATGATAATTATTTATTTTAATTTTAGGAATAATTTAAAATAGTGAACTTTCTGGTGCAAGACTAATTAAAAAATAGTTAAATTCAAGTAAGAATAAAATCAGCAATGTTATGACATTAAAATCAAATTTATTTAAACATTTCATTAATAAACGATGCTATTTTATTAATAATGATGCTCTACAAACTATTATGAAAATTATATCACAAAAAATTAAGACAAAATTCTATCTAAATATAGATTATATTTCATTTTTTAAATCTTATTCGTTTAGTTGAACAAACATTTATAATAAAAATTAATCTATTTTACAAATTCCTGTGATATTTTAAAAAATCTGTATTTAAAAAATATATTGATTCAAATAATCAAACAAATCCCAATTAATAAAAATAAGCATTATAATTCACCGTCTTCTGAAATTCTATCACTATCATCTTCTTCATCGTCTGTTAAACTAATGCGACCATTGTTTCGATATTTGTTACGTAAATGGTTTCTGAAATTCATTTCATAAGAATTTATTTCATCACTATCATATTCGAGAATTTCTTGATCAGTGAGATGTGATTCTCCTTGAACAAATTTTGCAAATCTATAAAATAGATATTGTTACCAGTAATCTGAACCACAATATAGATAAAAATAAAAATATATTACCTTTTGGCATCTTTAAGTTTTAATATAGTGTTCCATTGTTTACATTCAGGGCTATTGCAATGTTCTCGAAGTTCTTGCAAAGCCTTGCATGTTTCTTTTACACCTTGTGAATAATATTCTTCAGAAGTTAATAAGGTTATCTTTGGTGGGAACTTCTTTCTCCTAAATAATTATTTTTATAGATACTTTTTATTTGTTTTATTTGCTTTATTCTGTTATGCAATTGTAATACAACTTATATTCAATTACCAATACATCTTTGTTCTTTTTACAATAGTTTCTGAAAAATATTTGCCTGCGATTATTACACAACACATAGCTATTGCGGCTTCTTGATAATCGGTGTGGAAGGCAATAAAAATCAGTCCAACAAACTAAAATAAATTGAAAGAAATTACAAAACTGAAAATAGAACAACTAAATCTAGGGCAGTAATTTACCTGTAAAGACCATTTCACAATTTTTCGATTTTTCTCATTTTGAAGAGGATCCATTCTATAGCAAATAAAAAAACTAATAACTCCCGATACAACAATATACCAAGCCACATATGTTTTGTAACTTAACAGCACAACTTGCAAATTATCCCAAAGAATTTGCATAAAATATAAGAACAAAGCCCAACCCCCAAGTGCAAATCCATACATTGCTGGTTTCTAGAACAAAATCATTTTATAAATATTATTGTTGCAGCAATAATTCAGTTTATATACACTTCTAATAATAATTTATAGTAATTCTATATTCCATACCTTAGGTATCATTTTGCTCATGAAGTATATTAGAAATAAAAATGCCGCACATATTCCAATTAAAACCCCCGATGAATAATAAAAGAATTTGTTATTACTCAGTTTGGGTGCACCAATATACAGTATCAAACCCACTAATAAATACACCAACTTCCAAAAATCAATTCGTAGAAAGTTCAATTCAACTGAGTAATTTTGGGATGTATCGACTCCAATACAGCTTTGGTTAAAAGGGTTTAAATTGAAGGTTTTCTTTTTGTTTGTGAATAAATTAAAAGACCATGAGGAACGCCTTTCTTCATATTGCTTGTATACTTCCAGAGGAGTGTTACCCTCATATAATTCAAAATCATCTCTAGTAATTTTAACATTCAAAGAAACTGTTTGCCATATATAAAAAATGCGTTTTGAACGGCCGCTATAGCAGAATACATGAAGCCCCCTCTTTTCACTTTTTATTAGTGTTTCGGTTCCTAAATCTATATATGTTACTAAAATGGAGTAAAATTGATATTTTAGATAATTCTAGTACAAAAATATAAAATGTTTTGGGTTGAGTTGCTTTCTTACCATCATTTATAATATCAGTTGACTGGCAGTGGACTGTTTCAAAACTAACTAAAAGAACTAAATTTATTATAAAAATTATAACAGACTTCATTGCTACTTATTTATTTTTTATCAAATATAAATTATATCTATCTAAGCTATCTTAAATTAACCGTCAAACATCGTAAACAAATGACATTTTATCATCCTGCCATCTTTAGGATTTTAGTTCATATTGTAAGTGGCGCACAATGACATGTCGCTATTATTTTAATTAAATTTTCGCATTTTTAATTATACATCTGTTAACTAATGAATGAAAGTGATAAGCAAATGTAAATGTTCATTAATTGAAAGAAAGTGTGATAAAATCACATCTATACCATAAATCAAGTACATATATATATTTTTTTGTTGATGCCGGTATATGGCCGGTACCTTGATGCAATTTTGTCTTGCTTTATTTCATATTATTAAAGGCTTTACATTTAGCAAACCATATAAATTACTATAGTGTTTTTCAATATAAAAATGTATTAAATCGTGCTTCAAAATGCAAATAGATTCAATTATTATTGGTGGCTGCAACAGGTTTGTGAGGAATAATATACATGATTATTGCTCATTAAGTCAATTGCTAGACTAGCAATTGACTTAAATTACTTTCAGATAATTTTGTTTAGTGCATTATAATGTATTTGAATTAGCGCGTTTATACCATTACACGTTGACCACCCTGCATTACGAAAATGGCGCGAAATGTTTGACAAGATCAGTTCATTGCAGTCTCTTAATACACTGCAAATTATTATTTATTACGATAATGTATTAAAATGGATGGTTTTTCAAATATAGAAAAAATCGGTGAAGGAACGTATGGCGTAGTATATAAGGCAACCGATAATGAAACAGGAAAACTAGTCGCCTTGAAAAAAATCCGTTTAGAAAATGAGACTGAAGGAGTTCCCTCTACTGCTATGAGGGAAATATCTATTTTAAAAGAACTCAAACATGACTGTGTTGTAGAATTATTCGATGTGATTCCTGTTTCCAAAAGACTGTATTTAGTTTTTGAATTTTTGGATATGGATTTAAAAAGACTTATAGATTCATCTTCAACACCATTTCCACCTGGATTAGTTAAAAGTTATATGTTTCAGTTATTGCAAGGTTTGGCGTTTTGTCATTCAAGAAGAGTATTGCATCGTGATCTTAAACCACAAAACATATTAATTAATAGTTCTGGACATATCAAATTGGCTGATTTTGGCCTGTGTAGAGCTTTCGGAATGCCTATTCGGTCATATACACATGAGGTACATATTTGCATAATTATTTCAGTATATTTTTTTAAAACCACACTATGATAATATATGTGTTATGAAAAATTATCTGTATAAACAAAATTGTGATCAATATTATTTCAAATTGAAATGTTAACAGTTTATGAATTTTATTGTAATTATTTCTATGAATCATAGTTTTACAATTTAATTTTTTGTTTAATTATTTTACTTATTACACATACATAATTCAGCAGAAAATTATTTTTTTAGGTGATAACATTATGGTATCGTGCACCAGAAATACTTTTAGGAACAAAATTCTATACTACTTCAATTGATGTATGGTCTCTAGGATGCATATTTGCAGAAATGATGATCAGAAAGCCATATTTCCCAGGTGATAGTGAAATTGATCAACTCTTTCGAATATTTCGATTGTTAGGTACTCCAGAGGAAAAAGACTGGCCTGGTATCAAAGATTTACCTGATTATAAAGCTATGTTTCCAAAATGGAATCCACAGCCTACTAATGCTATTATAAAGGAAAAACATCCAGGCGCAGAAAATTTATTATCGGTATGATGTAATGAAAAGTTCTACTCTATAATGTATGTAATGTAAATTTTTGTTTTGGTCGTCAATCACTAAGTAATAATGTTAGAATATAATTTTAAATTGACTACTAAAATATAATTTTAAATTGACTAAACTGGTATTTGTTTTGTTTTTACAGCTCATGTTGAAATATGATCCAATAAAAAGAATTTCTGCAAGAGCAGCTTTAGCACACAAATATTTTAATGATGTTAAGTTGGAAATACCAATTCTACCTGAACCTCCCAAATGTTCAGTTGATGAAAATGAGTATTCTAATGAAAAGAGTAACTGGTGAGCTAATAAATACTTTGTGCTTCAACAATTTGTACTTACAAGAGATTGAAGTAAGTTTAACACACACTATATTAATTCTTTATTCACAATTCACACTTTAATTGTGCAATTTGTTTAATTTATTGATTTTTGTATTATAATTAAGTGTTTTAAGGGCAATTGTAATAAATTTTAATAATTAATTTTAATAATTAATTCTAGCTCTGACTCTAAAATTAACTCAAAAAGTAATATTTTAGTGTGTTTCAGTTAAAAGTAAAAGATTATTGAATTGTCTGTTAAAATGGTTTGTGATACGGTATAATATTTGATTGCCGAATAATCAAAGTGATCATAATATACATTGTAATAAGTACTAAAGAAACTATTGATACCATCTTGAACTAAAAAACGTTTTTTATTTTGCGTTTTATTAAAAAGTTTACAGAAAATAATTTTTCAATTTATAGAAGAATTTAATGAGCTGTAGTTGTATTTTGTGTTTCAACTGTTTCTGCTGAACTTACTGGCTGTAAATTACTTGTCTTAATTGCTGCATTGTTTAGTTGATTTTTGTTCTCAGCTTCATTGGGCACTAAAATATCAGGTATTGAAAGTGTCTGAAATGAAAAGTTAAAACATTGTACTATATATAAAGTATAATTTTAGAATAGAATAACATACCATTCCAGGACACAAAACTTCATATTGGTGCCTAAGTGCTTGTAATTCAAACTCGCAATTTGCAAATGCAGACCTCAATTCACACAATAGCACCATGTCTGAACGTAGTTCATTAAAATGGGTGCATATTTCCTCTGTAGGCATTGGTGCATTTTCTACATTATATTCTTGTAGGAGACCTTCAATCGCTTTGCTTTTTTTTTGTCCTACACTTGCAGGTAATTTCATTCGGTGTGAACGTAGGGATACACCACTGCCACGCAAATCAGGAAACTTAATTCCAGCCGATTCCAGCACCTTAGAATTATACAATGGGATACAGTATTGTGATCACTAAAGCAAGTAGTATTTTTAAATCATTTACAAAAAAAATTAAATTGGACATGAAACATGCTACAGTTTCTAAAATATTAATTTTATCTTAAAAATGATATTAAAATATTTGAATGTCAAATCTATACACTGAGTATATTTATAGTGATGGCATAAAGATTTATTTACAGTTGGATCTGTCCGACTAGGTCGTGAAGGAGGCTGAACACGTTTCTTAGTTATTTTTCTATCTTGTTTTCTGTTGCTAGATGAACTTGCATTGTTATTAACTGCATTCTCGGATTGCTGATCAGCCTGTGAAATTAGTTTTTGTAGATCTTGTGTTTTACGATCCCTCTCTTTTTTACGAACTTCAATTTTCTTCATTTCATTCATTAATGTTTCTTCTTCTTTTATCTATAAATTATTAATATAAATTGTTAGATTCTTTTTAATTTAAACATGGATTTTTTAATAGACTCCTTACAGCAGAAATTTATTTAAATTTACCTGTTCTTCAGTCCGGTCAAATAAACGTCTCAACTGTTCTTTCCTTTTGCGCTCATGATCAGCATCATATACGTAAACTTTTTTCTCACCTTTAAGCTGAAACATACAATAATATTTGTTATACAACAGTTTTATCATAGAGGCCAATAATTAATAAAGGAAAGCTACCTTAGTTAGGATCCCACAGACTTCATAGTACCGTTCTTTTAGATCTTCAACAGTTTTTGAGCCGTGGGCTTCTTTGTCCCATCTATCTGCCATAATCACAAACCTAGATAAAATAAAATTGCATACAAATTAGTAACTGAAATTATATGTTCGGTTTTGGATATTGAAATAGAAACCTCAAATCAAAGCGTTTTGCTAAATCAAATAAATGATCAGTTTGTGGCTTTTCCCAATTGGAATTTCCTTTTAAGTGTGTCTGAAACTCTTCATCAGTATAGGAAGGAATATTCAATTGCTGGAATTAAACAATAGAATTGAAACAAATTTGTTGAAGAACAAAGTAAATGACTATTATGAGTGATTTGTATATTCAACCTTGTTGAATTTTGCAAAAGGGTATTCTTTAGGTTCATCGGTCACCCTCCTCCAATGATGAAATACTGCTCCATCTGTTCTTGCCGGATTAGTAAAAGGTATCCATCTCCATGGCCGTGTTTTGCGCATACCCAAACGGGCCTTAGTTTGTTTGTAACCACATCCTTCAAATAACAGAAATATTATATTCATAAACTACAAACGAAAAGTTTTATATTTATTTAATGAAGAATAATAGTCCATTTTTTGTTTTTGAAAGTTTGAAAAGTAAATATATATGTAATTTAATAACAGAATTATAAATGTACCTGTTTCTGTTGGTAGAAGAGGTGGAGCATCTTTATTATCATTATATAGTAACGCAAATACTTCTCTATGCATTCCCTCTGGCCGCTTTACAGCCTATTAATAAACATGAAAAATGCTGAATTTATTCATTGTTAAATGTTGTTCTGTTTATTATTTTGTATTCATGCTAACCTTAGGTTGTGGATACTTTTTTATTTTTTTATCATTATTTATAATACTGTCAATAGTTATTTCCGGAGTAGAAATTCGTTCCAATTCCAGGATATCTCGCACATCTGCCATTTTGACAAGTGATAAATAATAATAATAATATTAAATCACAATATTATTTGTTGTTGTTTGTCAAATCTCTTTTGAAAGCTGCCATCTGATCTGACAGCGGCCATAGAGAAAGTTTGGTGTGGAGTGACTTTGTGTGGTATACTACTCTTCCCGCTAGATGGGTCTAGAAAATCGTTTTATTTGAATTTACTCTTCTTTTATCTATGATATTTACGATGTACTTTGGCTTGAAACGCAAAGTTAAAACCATGGACTAATTAATTATGTTTCTTTAACACTTTGAAAATGATATCAACTCAAAACCATAGACATTAATCACGGTTTTTCTAAAACACATTTTACTCAATTTCAAGACGACATCAAGTCAAAACCATGGACTAATTAATTATGTTTCTTTAACACTTTGAAAATGATATCAAGTCAAAACCATAGACATTAATCACGGTTTTTCTAAAACACATTTTACTCAATTTCAAGACGACATCAAGTCAAAACCATGGATTTTTTAAACTCATTATATTCAAATTTAAAATGATGTCAAATCAAAACTATGGACGAATTGGATGGATGGATTATTCACGTTTTTTTAAAACAAATTTTACTCAATTTGAAAATGATATCAAGTCTAAACCATGGACGTTTCATTCATGCATTTTTTAAACATATTTCACTCAAAGGGTGAGTGAAGTTTTGAGTTCGAATCCCCAAGCAATTTATATATTTAACGTATAAGGGGTAAAACATTATTTTTATTGGATATTTTTATTAAACATTATTTTATTATTAGATCTATAAAAACTGTTTGGATGAAAGTCTTCCTCAAAAAAGTTTGAATTTTTTTTATTACTCGATATTTTTATTCGTTCCATCATTTACTTACGCGTTTAAATAGATATTGGGTTATTTATAATTATATATCTATTTACTTCTCTTTTTTATTCATTTCTAAAGTATTATATTATTTAATTTATTTATTCTTCTGTTAATTATTTCTTTGTTTTTCCAATAATTTGTGTTTTTTATCTATTCATATATTTATTTAGTCATTTTTATAATTATTCGTATATTCATTCATTAACCCTCTCCACTCGGAAATTCCAGAATTCACATGTATTTTGCCGCAAGGGCAAAAATCCGAGTAGAAAGGATTAATTTACTCAGCATTTATCTATTTATTCATTCTTTTATTTATTTGTCTATTTATTTATTTGTCCATTAATTTTGTATAAAATTAAATAAATTACATGTCTATTGTAGATTTTAGTACATTAGTTCTGTATTATTTCTTGTTAATTATTTCAGATTGCCCCCGGCCAACGAAAAATCAGAATAAAAGACGATAATTGCTAAGGGATTAGAAATAGACACCTCTGGAAAGGTTTATTTATGGAACGGGTGCATTTTGAGGTACAATTTATATTTCAATATTTTTTATTAAGTATTTATTCAATAGTTTATTTTTCAATATTTCAGTATTCAATAGTTCTGTTTTACTTTTATTTAATTATTTACTTATCAATATATTTGATTATTTATTCAATCAAGTTATATATTCATTCACACTTACTTATCTTTATTATTCATATTTATATTTATATACTTATTTACATGGATAAGGAAACTTATTTATTTATTCATTTATTTATTTATTTATTCATTCACCTATTTGTCTATTTAGTATTATTTATTCATTTACTGAATAATCTAGTTATTCCTTAACTCCCCGTAGGGTAAGTTATATATAGAAATGGGCCAAAAATCTAAAATGAAAATGTTTGCATATCTTCACGTTTAAGGGGTTTCTGAACATTTTGGCATACCTCAGAAAAAATGGATGTGTGTGTGTATACAATTTTCATCGACGTTTTTGTGAGTATCGCTCAATCGATTTGAATGATTGAAAAGGCAATCGATTTCTACTAATGGGGACTATTAGTTTTTGGGAAAGGTCGGTCCAGCCGTTTCCGAGATACGAAGCAAAGAGTGCAGAAAGTTAAACTCGATTTTTGCGAGAACCGGACATCTGATTGGAATGATTCAAAAAACATTCCATTTGTAATAATGGGGAGAAGTGTGATTAGATTTGGGCAAAGACAGATTCAAAAGTTATGAAGATATGGAGCTAAATTTGTAAAAAATATCAGTTTTTGAGAGAACGAAGCATCCGATTTAAATCATTTTAAAAACTTTCTACTTGTGTTGACGAAACGATTGCTTTTGAAGATTTTAATTAATTTTATTTTTTTGAATACTGAAAAATAATTCGGATATTAGTTTTAATTCGAGATAAAATTTTAAAACTTACTTATATTCTTCAAATTGATAATTTTAACTTTGCAATTCAGTTTGTATAATACTTAGAAATGTTAGGCAATGTTCTTCATTTTAAATCGGATTGATTAAAGTTTTGTTTATTTACTTTTTATAAAATAAGAATAATGAAAGTTACATTTATTTAATAATCTATTTGAAAACATTTTATATTCCTCGAATATTTCATTAAGATGAAATTCCAGCAATTTGCCTTAAGGCACGACGCCATGCACCACTAGTTTCTGCCTTGTGTTTGGGAAATTATAATATAAAATAATAAATAATAATGTAAATTAACTATATAGTTAAATTAACTATATAGTAAATTAACTATAAAATATATTTTACGTCCATTATTATTAACGCGGTTGCATAAAAAAATTCTTTGAGATACATACTTCTAATCAAAAGGATATGAATATTTTAATTGCTTCGTGTACACTTAATGATTGATCATACAATATTACACATTTATTAAATTTTTGTGGTTGAATATACTATATAATTATTACATCATTTTAAATACTTATTTCATATATTAATCATTATGAATAATGTCTTTAAAGATAAATATATGCGCAATTTCCAATGTTTACTATATTGGATTCAAATGCAATCCAAACGGTCCAATGGGACCCGTAATAAGGGTACTTTTATATTGCATATCAGGCCCTGTCCAATGAAGACGATATTTAGTTATTATTCTTGTGAGAAGGACTTCCATTTCTAATTCTGCAAATCTTCTTCCAACACACATACGAGGGCCAAATCCGAATGGCATGTAGCTGAATTTATGAGCACATTGTGCTGATGGAAACCCTTCTGAACCAGCTCGAAGCCATCTCTCTGGCATGTATTTGTGTTCATCTGGAAACTGTTTCTTTACTCTGGCAGCTAAATGATGGCACATTAATACCTGCGTCTAAGGGAAATAGATATACACATTTTAATTTTCTATTGAACTTTTATTTTTATCAATTATTTACCCCTTTTGGTACTGAATATCCACCGAGTACAAGATCAGCGCCAGTGTTACGTAGAATTCCTACAGCAATGGGTTTTAGTCTTTGAGTTTCTTTGATACATGCTTTAAGGTAAGATAAAGAATTTAGACCCTCTGCTGTAAGAGTGCTGCCTCTTGGAAACTTGGAATTAACTTCTTCTCTCAATCGATCTTGCTTATCAGGATTTTTGGACAAAAAATATAGCGTGCTTAATGATGTTGAAGATGTCTACAAAATTAAATCAAAAGATTACACACTTGAAATTGAATCAATGGAAAAACATAATAAATTTAATTGATATCTTTATATAGGATAATGGATTTATTTTTATATACCGTGTCTACACCGGCGAAAAACATATCGAGTGCCATAATTATAGCAATTTGTGGATCGATTTTCAGTAGTTTTTCTAAAACGCTCAAATTGCTTTCGTCTATGGTCGGATTTTCTTCTAATCTTTTAATAGCTTTTTGTATGTGTTTTATGGATATTCTGAAATGTAATAAAAAGTATTAAAAATTTAATAATTTCTATATGTGAGATCAAAAAATTGCGTCATTGTAAATACATTGTATAAGAAGATTGTTCTTCCGATACTCAGCAAAGAATAGAAATATCAAATATAAACCAAGTGACAAATCATAGATTTTTACTATGAATTCAATTGAATTCATATATGACTTAAGTCATATCTATTTTTGCTAAAATTAGTAATAATTTGATCTCATAAACCAGTCACTTTAATATTGAAGAGAAACTGGCTAAAATTAACAAAGCATTCAAATTGATACCTTTTACCCGCAATAGAAAGACCTATTTTCCATTGTCCTGTTCGGTAATATTTCAAATTAAAATCAAGTTAAAAGATTGAATAATTTATCCATTTCCTTATCTATGATTTTAACATGAAATTACAGGGTTTTGCAAGACCGTTATTTTTTTATGATTTTATACATTTAATATTATTTAACATAACCGTATAAACCAGCCAATCATACAAACATTTCCAGTCTTTTGAGAAACATATTAATAAAAGGGTCTCGTTATTACATTCATTGCATTATTGAAGGATGTTGCAAGCAATAATATTGACTAATAATCTTACTCTGTAAAACAGTCAAATATATCCATAATTTCATTGAATTTGGGCGTGCTAACATATTTCCACATAGATGGCAAAATTTCGACTTGATATGCTAGATCGAAGTAGCGCGATAATGACTTGATCAGCCTGAAACCATCTGCATTCTCTGGTTGGTGCAGATCGAGGCAACCCAGGCGCGTGTCGATGGCAATTCGGGCTATTGACTCCATAGACCATCTGTCCATTTCGTAAAGGAAATCCTTGGGTACTTTACGTTCGGAATCCAATAGAGTTTCTAATCTATATTGTTACATAAAAACAAACTAATTATTTTGTTCTAATATGATATTTGGGCTAGCGGTGGCGAAATCGGTTAAAACGTGGGCTAGCACCAACTAGACCCAGGTTTGCTGGTTCGATTCTCGCTACCGCCAAGTCTGACATCAGGCAACTTTGATGTCAAATTTCCACTTGGGGTTATAAATCACAATATAATTCCAAGTGGAAATTGTCCTTCGTGGACATAGTTGCATCATACAATCATATGCACACTATTAGACATAACAGCTAATATATAAAAACCCCACACATAGGAGAAGGATGAACCGATGGGTTGCTTCTCATATCAATACCTTAGGTCATAAGTCATACACAAAAACAGCTTATAGAACAATAATAAAGAGTTCTGATGCTGTGGAAACAAATAAAATAAAAAAAATAAAAATAATAAAAAAAATTAAAAAAAAATGATATTTCAATATAGTTCATAATTAATAGTGTATGATTTTATGGGTTGAGGGCTAATTGTTGCAGCTTCTAGTTTTGTAAACAAATAGATAGATTATAAAATAGACACATAACATCTAGAGTTATGCAAATAGTACTTGAAACTGCATCCACTTTCATAAAAGGAATTATATCATAAAGAATAAAAAACAAATAGTGGTGTATTGCATCGTGCCTTAACCGTAATGACATACTCGAGGAATATTAAATGCTTTCAAATAGATTATTATAAATACTGTAACTTTTATGATTCGTATTCTGTAGACAAAATATAACAGCTTATGAATCGGACGACGACATTTAAATATGTTTACATAGAAGATGAATAAACAAAACTGGAACAAGCGGAGTTATTCCTAATATTTCTAGGATTTATATAAACTAAATTGCAAAGTTAAAATTTTTTATTTGACGTAGATAAGATGAGTTTTAGACATAGATAAAAGAAGAGTAGAATAGAATTTTAGCTAGAATTCAAAATAAAATTCGAATAATTTTTGATACTAAAAAAATAAAAAATGCCTTCCTAAACTAGTCGTTTCTTCACAAGCAAAATAATTTTTAAATCATTTGAATCGGAAGCTATGTTCTCTCAAAAACCGTCATTTTTTACATTTTCTGCTTTTTATCTCTGGGCCTGCTTTTACAGCTGAGCCTGCTTTTGCCAAAAATTAATAGCCACGTCTTCTCATCATTTCGAATTGAATGTTTTTTAGATCATTCAAATTGGATGCTCTGTTCTTTCGAATTCTCATTTTCCATTTTCTGCAGTCTTTGCTTCATATCTCCAAAACAGCTGAACCCACTTTTGCCAAAAACTAATCATCGCGTCTTCCTATTAATAGGAATCGATTGTTTTCTAAATATTTCAAATCGGTTGATGCTCCCGTAAACGTGGACAAAAAATTGTCTCCATACATACGCACACACACACATACATTCATCCATTTTTTCTAACAATAAGGTATGCCAAATTGTTCAGAAACCTCTGAAACGTAAAGATATGCAAAAATCTTATTTTCGATATTAGATGATTACAATATAACTTACCCTACGGGATATCAAAAAAAACATATTTAATATACTATAGTTTAATCACTCCAATCGAATATTGATATAAAAATTATATGAGAGTACGTAAGAGTGCCAATTTAGTACATGAATTAAAAAGGTCTAATAAGAACTTTGAGAATTTTTATATACTGCAGAACCAAAAATTTTAAAAATGTTTAGGTTAAAATATGCATAAGAAATGTAATATTTAAATGCTCTAATGTAAAGCAATCATGTTTGACTTCTAAATGAATGGAATTGGAACTTTGCCAAAATGCACAAACAATTTATACATTTTTATGTATGAGTAAAAATACTACGTTTATTGTGTGTGTATAACTATTTTAATCCTTTACCTTTTGATAAAATCGAGTGCTATTTCATCGACCCATCCTACATACTGCCTTGCAGTTTTCATTTGCATCATTATTTGATTTACAGCTGTCCGTATGTCTTGCCATTCTTTTCCTTGCCTTAAAATAAGATTCGAAAAATATTTATGCCTGCATTTAATTATATTTTTCAATAATAATCTTACGAATGAATGAGACCATAAACGGATTTAAAAACCTCAGGTCTTCTAACTTTTAGGTAATATTCCCTAGTTGCCACAGTTGATCTTTCTGGCCAAGCTCCTTCTGTTCTATAAATCTATAATCATTAACTATTTTTAGCGTGATGAAATTGATAACATATCATAAACCATTTATATAATTAGTAAAAAAAATCACAACTGGTTTTTTATGGATGTATATTTAAATTGGTAAAAATATATAATTATTATTTACCAATGCAATAACAAGAAAAGCTGATAAGATCATAAGTGAAGTAGATAATGAAGTAGAAATGCAAATATTCTGTTTTGCACTATAAATATTGTTTATCGGTTAGCAAGTGCGTCATAAACATATTGGAATATTAACATATTGCTTTATACGGTTATACTTTAGCAAAAAAAACTGCATATAATATTACTTTAATTTTTTATACCATTTTCTAATGTATGAACATGTTTATTTTATTAAAAATGTCCATGAATTTCTCCACGTGGTCTAAATTATACGCAGTTATCAGAAAACCAATAAAATAAAATCACTCTGAATTAAATATTTCAGTATTGATCAAATTTTTCACGTCGTCTGTATTTTTGCATACTAAAACTTTATAGTGTAGACATAACTAACTTACAAATTTAAAATTACAAATTGGTATATATTTTATCATTTTACCAAGGCACATAATTCAATCTAACTTACTTTCTCAAAATCATCTAAATCGTATAAAAATACCATATCTTGTTTACCAAGCATCCCTTTTAAATTTACGATATCTCCAAAATCGTCATATAGTTTCAGACCAAGATCAACCAAGTCTAACCCGTTATAACTACCTAAAATAATTAACTTACAATTATCACATTATTTATTAATAATTTAAAATAAGTTAAAAAATATAAAATAACTCCAATAGATGGTGATATGTGATTAATTAATAATTTAATGTATATTACTCACCGCCTGGTAGAAAATGATGAAGAGTTCCTATTACTGGTAAAGTTGAAGGACCAGGTACTTTATTAAAAGGAAGTACTGATTTAGCTGAATCTATGGATTAAATTGAAATTATAGCTTCATGTTGCGTTATTTTGCGCGTTAATATATGAATATATTTTAATTAACTTACTCATTTCAGTTACATTGGTGCAATAATTTTTAGTATGCACATTTGAATATAAAAATCGTCGAATGAGACCTAATCCAAGTCTTTTGTAACCCATTTTATTCAGGCATTTACTACTGACCACCAATATATCACGACTAAATTTGTAATATTACAAAAACTTTTATTTTTGTATCGCGCATATGTTACCTACGCTGCTGTGATTATTATTTTAAAGTGCCTTCTGTAAGTTATTCATATTATTATGTAGATTTTCCACATATGACTTGTTTTTATCATTGATAAAGTTGATGGACACCTTTTGCTATCTTTACAATTGCAATATTTATGAAATAAACAAATATTTTTCAAATATTATGAATTTATTTTCTGTAAAATTATTATAATACTGTTAAATTAATAATAATTATTTTAGTTTATGACGTTGTTGAAATTAAATCTTGTCATAAAGTTGTTATCAAGATTAAATAATTTATATGGAGGATTTTGGAAATGATAGAATTAGGCTAGAATATTCTGAATAAAAAAATCGGATAAGAACGTTTGAGTTTTACGATCGAAGTGAAAAAATTATATCTTTGTATTCAAAATAAATATATGTAATTAATCATGCTCATCATTATTTTTTTATAAAAAATACATAAAGGCATGTATATTATGTATAACAGATGGATTGTGAGGTCAATTTGTGAATAGGTATAATTAATTATTCTCAAAGTTGAAATAGCTTCATCTTTATTGAATAGAAGAAATCTTTTAATAATGGTCTTATGTATACTATAGTTTGTTATTTATTATTACAACTCTAATATTTTCATTATAGTAGATTCCAGGAATCCAGAATGATGACATATCCAGATTTTTCCTGACTGCAATAGTCTATCCTGAAGATTAGATTATAAAAGTCTTCGTTGTATTTGCGTGTTTCCATTATTTCTAATATTGCATTATTTGTAGTTCCATTTAATAAAAAAGGAGAATAATAAAACATATTGAATATAGGATAGAAAATAGAACCAAGTGAGCGGTTTATAAAAGATAATTACATTGCCTTTATTGTAAGTCTATAATTTTTTTTTGCGAAATGAATATTTTATATTAATAGTTAATTCTTTAAGTAAATTGTGTTTCAAAGGAGTACATGATACATTATAGAATTCTAATTGTTAAAGAAGAAATAACATATTTATTGAAAACATTATTGATGACAATTGGTGTGTTCGCCTGAAAGAAATCTTGAATGAACATAATTCTCAATTTCATGATGTTTCAAACGTGAATCGATTAAATTAAAAGATGATCTTATTCTGGCAGTAGGTGATACATAAACTTTTAATATCAAAATGATGATTTGAATTTGAAATATCTCAAATATCTATCAATTATTGGAAATACATTAAACTTCTGTCAGCAAGTTTTCAAAGCTGCTGCTTAACAGCGACAGGATTAACAAGCCAATGATACTGGAATTTGCTTATTATTAAATCCTACACTTAATAAGCATAATGAGTTCGCAAAATGTCAAAATTACAAATGGAGCAAATTTAAAGTAAGTTTGAATTTTCTAAGCTTTTAAATCATTATTTAATGTTATATATAAGCAAATTAACTTTAGTAAAACCACATATAGAAAGATATGTATATTCATGCTCATAATTTTTTTACATTAAAAAATGGCATGAATACTATGTATAACAAATGGATTGTTAGATCATCTTGTGACTAATTAAGTATTCTTAGAGATGAAATATCTTTAATATAATATAATTACAAATAAATGACTTTATTAAATTGAAAAAATGTTTTAATTGTACTTTTACTTAAATATTACTGGTCATGTTGATATAATAATCATTCACATCAAATAAACTATATATCTTCTTATATATAAAAATGGAGCTCTCGATCAAATGGTTCGGTAGATCACGACAACGGCTAAACCGATTTGGCCAATCTTACTCTTGAAAAATTCGTGCCAATCCAGAGATCGTCGGAAAGGTGAGATAATATTTCAAAATCGCGTAGAAACTTTACATTTTCAATTTGAAAATTATAGTAGAAGCGTAATTTAAATAAAACAATGGACGGTAGCTATTACGTGAAATGTCAAACGTTTTTGACAGATGATTGATAGGATGTCTTTTAGAATAGGATGTCTAGAAAATTGTTCGTTTATGTTTGAACTCATATGTGCAGTGTGGACGCTACCACGAATGTAGACAAACATTTTTCTTTTTTTGATGTTAAAATGTGCAGTCCTGCATTAGTGTATGTTGTTTTTATAATAAGATATTGCTGTCATTGACAAATTTTGCAAATTTGATGACTTTAAATAATTTTTCTCTTTCCCGCCACTTTAAATAATAAATCTGACGTTTCACAGTACATCCTCGAACAAAAAGATTCAAGGCCTCATGCTTTGAGGCGTTTGTTTGGAATGATTTGCCTTTGTTCGTGTTCGCGTTTGTTCTTCTTTGTATTTTCTTGTTCGCCATGTTCGTTCGTGTTCGTTCGTTAGGTGTGGACGCACCTTTAGGTGGCGCACCTTCAAGGCGAACAAGAAAATACAAAGAAAAACAAATAGGAACACGAATAAAGGCAAATCATTCCAAACAAACGCTTCAAAGCAGTGAGGCCTTGAATCTTTTTGTTCGAGTTCGAATTATTTGAAGTGGCGGGAAAGAGAAAAATTATTTAAAGTCATCAAATTTACAAAAATTGTCTTTAACAGCAATATCTTATAATAAAAACAACATACACTAATGCAGTACTGCACATTTTAACATCAAAAAAGAAAAATGTTTGTCTACATTCGTGGTAGCGTCCACAAACGCCATGTTCGTGCTCGTTTGCTAGGTGTGGAATTACCTTTAGTTGTCTAGGGTTACAACCATACTCTATGGTTACCACCATAGATAAAAGAAGAGTATATGGGTTACAACTCGGTGGTCTATCTTTGATTATCTATGATAATGAGGTTTGCTCGATTGTGGATGTATCTTTTATATCTATGCTCTTTTCATTTGTGTTGAATAACCAGATGAAATTAAGAAAATTTAACGTAATTTAAAAGACAATTGAAAGAGTGCATTTTTGCAATCAACATAATCACATTTTTGTTTGGGTTGTGAATTAATTGAGAATTTAGTTATCTATTTTTGTTCATTTAGTTATAAGTGAGAAAACTCTTAATAAAATTGCGTTCGTGACGTTGTCCAAACGCAAATGATTCAATGATCTAAGGTAATTGAAAGATTTGTTAACAAATTTAGAACTGATTTGTTTTGATTTTTGCTGTTATGTTTAGAAAGATCAAGTTAATTATAGTGTTGTTCAAAATAAATGAAATATGCGTTCGGGATGCCATCTTGAAAACCAGTGAAATCCCACCTCGATCAATATTGCCGGTTTTATGTATTAAGTTGTACATATCTTCAAACATTTTTATATGTCGCGAGCATCTTATTACTAATTTATATTATAACAATTTGAGAAATAAGTGAATTATTATTTTAGTTGTTTTATTACGTAATTTAATAATATACAATATACAGTTTTCAAAAAGTTCTTTAAATTTACTACATAAATAGATTTTTTATACATTTTTTTTACTTTATTGGTTATTTCAATAATTCGAGCATTATAGGTTATTATTGAATATATGAGTAATATTCAGTTTAGACTATTCTTCCCAAACAGATGCAAAATACATTGCAACAATCTGTGTCTACTCCTAATGTTGGCGGACATTCTGGTTCTAGGAGAAGAAATCAAAGAAACAATACTTACATAAACTTGAGAACTGATTGCATAGCTTTAGAAGAGGCAGCAAAGCTAGTTTGGTGCAAGGTAAATGGAATTGCAATAATTTATATATAAATATTAAATTATTCAGAATTTGTGCAATAAAAGTATTTTAATAATTTAATGAGAGTAATATTGCAAACGATAAATGGTTTAATTTAGGAAATGGCTGCCATGCCATCAAAGACCCCTGTCTCTATATTGCAAGAGTTGCTTAGCAGACGTGGAAGTACTCCCAAATATGAACTCGTTCAAATTGAGGGGGCAATCCATGAACCGACTTTTCGATACCGTGTAACTGTGGCAGATACAGTAGGTTAGTTCAGCACAAAACATATCTTATATTATTATTATATAGTCCTTCAATTTAAACCTAATAAATATTTTTAAAAAATACTCTAAATGCAGAATCTGTTGCGATTAATATGAATTATATATTTTTTATTAGCCATGGGCACTGGTCGTTCTAAAAAAGAAGCAAAACATGCTGCTGCAAAAGCCCTTTTAGACAAACTCACTGGTATCCAATCAACTGACACCATCACTACAAATGGATCAGTGCCAAACACTGGTGCTGCAACTCCAGACATGTATGTGTTCATTCTATTTTAGATATTGGTTAAAAATTTAAAGATCTCAATTTGATTTGCTATTATTAATTTACTCATTTTGGCTATTTTAGAAACGGCCAAGGCTCTGCTAATTATGAAGACAAAGGCATTGGAAATCCTATTGGGTGGTTGCAGGAAATGTGCATGTCGAGGAGATGGCCACCACCACATTATGAAATGGATTTTGAAGAGGGTATGTAACTTTGTTTGGTGGCTTTTTACTTGATTATCATCACTAAAATAATACATTTTAGGGCTACCACACGAACGTCAATTTACAATTGCTTGTGTTGTATTTAAGCATCGTGAAGTTGGTCAAGGCAAGTCTAAGAAACTAGCAAAGCGTCAGGCTGCTCACAAAATGTGGCAAACTCTGCAAGATGCTAAATTGGATAGTGAACTTGGCGATGAAGAGGTAATATTTATTTTAAAGTTGTAATTCACTATAGTTATAACTGGAACAAATTTCCTGTAGTTTATCATATTGGTTATGTTTGAATTTTTTTTTCGTATTTTTTTTACTAAGCTTAAATTAATGTGTCACATGTAAGAATGATTGATATAAACATTTGATAAATAAATTCAATATAAAATGTAAGTCTCAAGAAAGTGTTCATAAAAAACGCAATTTGGACAATTACTTATTTCTTGATGAACAAATTCTTTTCAACAATTTAAAAAGAAATCAATTACACTGTGTTTTTACATATGACACATTAAATTATTGTCCATATTGTGTTTTTTGTAGATGGCTCAACACACTTCAAATATCATCGAGCGATATGCTGAATTGAAGGATAGTCGCATTTCAACTTTAACCACTCCTCATAGCCACAAAGTTTCTTCATTTCATAAAAATTTAAAACAATCTACTGGTCCAAAGTTATCTGAATTGCAGGTATAATTCTTCAGTAAAATATTTTGCTTGAAAAGCCTCTGAAATCTAATAATTTTGTTGTTAAAGAAAACTATTTACAAAACTTGAAATTTTTGTTTGTTGCAGAACACCAAATTGAACATACCAGATTTTAATTTTGTTCAATTTCTTCAAGAAATTGCTTCTGAACAACAATTTGAAGTAACTTATGTAGACATTGAGGAAAGAAGCCACAAAGGTCGTTGTCAATGTCTTGTTCAGTTGTCAACATTGCCTGTAGCAGTTTGCCATGGTTCTGGAAACACATCTAAAGATGCTCAAGCTTCTGCCGCTCAAAATGCTCTAGAATATCTAAAAATAATGACAAAAAAGTGAGCAAATTCTTAAAGGGTGAGTTAATAATTATCTTAAAATTTTTATTGTATTGAAATTTTCCTATAATTTAGCGAAGTTATATTATTATTTCCAGGTTGTATATTAATATATATGGAAGCAAAAATATAAAAATTGAGCAGAAAACAGGTGTTAATGCATAATATTATCAACCATATGCAATTTTCCCTTTTATGTATATTTGCAACATATCGTGCAATCATGCATAGTCATCACAAGAAATCAAGGTATTACATTAAATACCACTGTCTAATGTAACAAAATAATTTTTGTTGTTATTTTATCTTGTTTGTCATGCATTAGGGCAAAATAATTGTGAGGTCGGGCCATCTTGGCCAGCATATTCATTTTCAATTGATTTAGATCAGTTATATAATTTCATTGTTAATCAATTTGAGTTTATTAATTTATAGAAAATTAACTTTATTAATATAATAGTTTTTAAATTTTGATAGAATAAGTAATTTTAATTTTATAAGTTGATTAATATTTAATTGAGAATGAGTTTGCTGACTAAATGGCCCACCTCCAATTTTTCAAAGAGGTTGATATGACTTTATATACAAGCTATACTTTGCATAGAATTAGTGGAATTTTCCAAGCTTGGAAATGAAATTATATTACAAATTACCAGTTTATATAAGCTTTACATAATTGTCTACATAATCATATACATGTATATTATAAACAAAACAATGGTGCTTGCAAGAGATCAAGCTCACTAATTACTATGGATCTTCCTGTGGCAAATGTCCATTGTTTAAAATTTTAACTTATTTTTGTGCAACGTCAAATTTGTACAAATTTAAATGGTAACATTGTAGAATTAAGAAAGTAGGATTTGATAATTGGCAGCACATTTAATGATTCATATTGTTAAAGATTAGAAACTTCAAAGATAGTTTTAAAAGAAAAATATCTAATTTGCTATTTATAATCTTACAATATAGTAATAACTCTTTAACTATGTTTATGTGTGTATATATGATGTATATGTATGTATGTATGTATATATATATATATATATATATATATATATATATATATATATATATAATCATTGAAGTTAATCTTAGATTTGAGACTAGTGTCACTTTAAATGTATTCGATGCATTATAATCTGGTATTGGTATTTTGTCATTGTATTATAACCTGATATTGGTTTTTGATATAAGCTATTATTAACTGTGCAAATTAATGATCTTAATTTGACATAGTTTCATCATGAAATTATTTCAATTCCATGTGACTGTCTAAGATCAATTTGAACTTTAGATGGATACATTTTTTGATTTATATAATATAGCTGCATGCCCCATGCCTTTAGGAAAATGGGCATTACTTTAATGCAAAGTATAGAGGTTGTACCATACAAAAAGCATTGCTAATTATCATTAATAATAAAATGTATTTTATAAGGTGATCATATTTTACAATAACTCATAATACCGATTGATCAAATCAAATAATAACCAGTTTAGAAATAATTACAGTTTTTACAAATATGCTGTTAAAAGAGTTTTGCATTGTTAATGCAAACTCTGTATTAGCATAAAGCTATTAAATTTTAATAATATATTTCTGCATATATGTTAATTATGTAATCATTGTAAAATGTGAAAATAAAACCTTGTAATTCAATCATGATTTTGTTGTATTGTGACCGTGCACTTAATTATAATTGTACTTACAAAGTATGTTTAAACATCAAAATTTGCAAATACTTATGGCAAATTTTATCTAGTCAGTATTCATTTACTAATATTCATTTTAATAAAAAATTTCGAACATTAATTTTATAAATACTTAAATCATTTTGACATTATAGAAACAATATACTACATATTTTCTATAATGTCAAAATGATTTAAGTATTTATAAAATTAACGTACGAAAATTTTTATAAAAATGAATATTATAAAAACATTTAGGCTATTAAATAGATTCCGTTTTTCGCGATATTTACAAAGTGGCTATGTTTTGCCAGTGAATCATTTTATGCCCAGGAAGCGTTTTGCTTCTGATTATGTGGCAACGAAGTCTTTAAAAGTAACAATTTGTGGAGCTGCAGGAAATTTAGGTACATCTTCCATGTAGATTTGTTAAATATGCACTCAAATTTGCTATGCAACTAAAATAGTAATAATGCAAAATTAATAATATAATTCAATTAGGACAACCCTTGTCTTTGCTTTTAAAACAATGTCCACTATTTGATGAAATCGCTTTATATGACATTGCACCTGTTTGCGGAATTGGGACAGAATTGGGCCATGTAGATACTAGCTGTTTAATAAGTGCCTATCAAGGAACGAAATCATTAAAAGATTCTTTAAAAGTGATTATTGTAATAACATACTTTTTGAAAGATGCTTTAAAATGTGATCTTGCAAAAATATTTTCAGGATGCTAAAATTGTTTTAATTCTTGCAAGTGCTCCTATTATGCCATCCATGACTGTGAAAAGCATGTTTGATGCAAATGCAAATATTATTTGTGAAATTGGAAAGGCTTGTGCTACGCATTGTCCGAAAGTAAGATTTAGTTCGTGTTTATTTTTATATTGATGGTTATTTACTATCAAGTTTTTTTAAAAAAATCGTATAAATTGCAATTATGCAACATGTTTTAGCTTTTTAATATTTATATGTTACTTTTAGGCATTATTAGGTGTTGTAACTACTCCAATTAATTGTATTGTTCCTATGATTTCTGAAATATTCAAACAATGTGGTTGTTACGATCCAAATAAAATTTTGGGAATAACAACATTGGATTCAGTTCGCGCCAATACTATGGTTGCAAAAGTAGCTTGCTTGGAACCAGAAGGCGTCGTAGTGCCAGTTGTCGGGGGACAATCTGAAGATACCATCATACCTGTACTATCGCAAACTAATCCCTGTTTAATTTTGGAACCAGTAAGTTTAGTTTTTGTCATACTTGTCGTTCATTAAAATTTTTGCGTAATACGTCCGAATTTTTGCAAATATACGTATTTTTTCTATAGACTATAGTCATCTATACTGATGCAGATGTATGTGTTATTAATTCGTATATTTGACAATGATATTTATTAAGATAATTAACCAGAACCGTTGTATTATTTGTATTACTTTTTACTTAAGGAAGAAGTAGAAAATATTACAAACGCGGTTAAAACTGCTTCAAATGATATTCATCTCACACGATACGGCCAGAGTACTCCAGCTTTATCCTGTGCTTTTGCAGTAGCAAGATTCACTATTTCTCTCGCTAAAGCATTAAATGGCGAAAAAGAAATAGTGGAAACAGCATTTGTCAGATCTGATGCAGTCAGAGAATGCAAATATTTTGCAACACCAGTAGTTCTAGGCCCAGAAGGAGTTCAGCTGAACTGGGGACTACCTTCTATGAATAAATATGAGTCATGCATTTTGGGAACAGCTGTTAAAAATTTGCAGAAACATATTTGTTATGGTGAATCCTATGTAAGAAAAGCACGTATTTGCAAACCAGACTGCGTTCTGGATTGTCCTGAAGATAAAAAAATGATAGACAGATCCAAACTTAAAGCGTAAGAGTAATGGTACAATACTAATAGTAACTCAAATATTTAAGTTTTTTTTTTCAAAATAAGAATGAAGTACATAACATGATTTGAAAATTATGTAATATATTAATTATTGAGAAATTGTATTATTGTGCATTAATAATTAGGTTTGCAAATATAAAATGTTCGCATAAAGAAATACTATAAAAATACATTATAATGCAATTATTGTATAAAATTCATTCTAGATAACGTACGTAAAACAAATCGATACGTGATATTACTCACGGTCATAATAGTAAAATCATTCATTATAGTATTGACGTACATAATATCAAAATGTCAAATTATAATATACTTATATTAATATTTTGTAAATTTGCAAAATATGTATGAATTCAAAATGAAAGTCGTGACACCGCAATTTTACATTTTGAAATCCAAACCGAACAGATAACAAACAACATAAGAAAAATATTGTGATTTTACAATGTTTATTTCAGCTGAGTTTTACATGTTGGTCAACCTGTTAACCTGACGGCCGAGAAGGTCGATGAACGACCGAATGATGCCAAAAATATTACAGTGATTCAGCCTATATGTGGTTAATTTGCATATAAAAATTTAAAATATTGTGACGACAAAATTAAAATATAGTTTGTGCAATGGCATTCATTATTAAGTGAATCGTTTATAGAGAACTTTGACATAGTAATTTAAAAATCATTAAAACTGTACTTAAAGTTAATTTTATCAGATTTTATTTTTTAGTGACAATCTTGGAAATGATTTAAAAATATTTTTAATTATGTTTGTCAATTTCATCGATGACTTGATCCATTTGACATATCTCAAGGTTTTACGTGGAAATTCCTTGCGTAGCTGTCAATACATCGAGGTCGTGACCTAGCTTGCGGTTTTGTTTTTACTATTGATAGATATTAATATTTAAATATTCTAAAATGTCTACCCAATCTACGATACAAGTTTTAATGAGAAAAGGCAAACGTGGTGCCGCCGCTTATATTCATGCAGATTGCATAGGGGGTACTCCAACCTATCTAGGTGCTTTACTTGATGTTTTATTAAATCCGGCGAAACCTATTGACGACTGGGAAGCTATAAATTGGTGCAAATGGCTTATGGCAGGAGGAAGGACACCAGATGAATTTGCTAGCATCGGTAATAACCTACTGATTACTCATTTCTTGCTCTGTTTTGTAGAGTATTTAAATATTTGAATTTGAAATCTTCACACAACTTGTGCAATTAGATTTAACTCTTGATTCAGTTTGACTTTCTTACTTCTCAGTGTAATTGTAGTTCAATATTATTTTGGGCTATTTGGGATGTATGGCCAATTTATTGATTATAGAAATTATACTAATTATTTTTTGTTTTTTCAGTAAATTCATTTCTTGACATAGTTATCAATCGTGAATGTTCAATTCTTATATCTCCAATTTAAATTTAACTAGATACGCTTTATTTAAAATTTTCTTCCTCATGTAATATTTATGATAAATAAATTGTTGCTTTTTAGTTCGAGGCTATGATAACCATGCAAAATGTGGCCTGGTATGGATACCACATGTTGTTGCTTATCGATGTCGAACATGTGGTATATCACCTTGCATGTCTATATGTAGAGAATGTTTTAAACGTGGAGATCATTCAACACATGATTTTAACATGTTTCTTAGTCAAGCTGGTGGAGCTTGCGACTGTGGGGATACATCTGTTATGAAAGAAGATGGGCAAGTTTATAATTTATACTTAATTACAACTTCTTAGAAAAAATATCAATATATTTAATTTTCATTTCCTTTTATCCAGATTTTGCAGTAACCATGGTTTAAATAACTGTGCCAATAAATCACCAGCACCAGCACATCTAATGTGTGTTGCAGAAGCTATGATGCCTAGAATAATACTAAGACTATTGCAACATTTTAGAGAAAATAGGTAAAAAACATTGATATGATCCTGTGATTATCTAATAAGCTGAGGAAGATTGACTATTAGAGAATTATATTAGTAATTTTTTGTTGTCGTAAATTTTGTTTATTTCTATAGTATTTTGTGGTTATTCCAAAAGTTAACAATTCCTTATTACATAGCATTTGCAGATATTCAGATTCATACAGAATTGCAGTGCAAGAATGTGACGCTTATGTTGCTATGCTAATGGAGTTCAATAACATGGGGGAGCTTATGAGAAGAGTTATGACTAGAGCCCTAATTAACCCACAGGTTAAGTATCTAACATGTATATATTTTGTGTATACTAAGCAGTTATGTATTTTAAGTAAACTAAAGGAATTTTATTTCAGATGTATCGAAATTTAATGAATCCCCCATTTCCTGAATCAGAGTATGGTAGCTACATGGCTGACATCAAAGCAAAATATGAAGAAGCATTGGAAGCATTTCCAAGTCCTGATCCTCCTGATGAATATAAACATCTGCCTGCATTAGGTCAAAGCATAGTTCACACAACATTATTAGAAGAATTTATCTTTTGGACTTTTAAATTTGAATTTCCACAAAATATTGTGTGCTTTTTGTTAAATATGTTACCTGATCAGGATTATAAGGTAATATATGTGTTCATTTATATTAATGAATTGATTTCTTATTCTTTATTTCTAAGTTATCCTATTGTATAAACAATGTATCAACACGTTTTATCATTGTTTCACATTTTGATGTTTTAATTTATGTTTTAGGAACATTTGACTAGAACATTTGTGATGCACTATAGCAGAATACCTCTTGTGTTAGAGCGCTCTAGTGATCCAGACACATTAAGCAACCGTGTTGTTCACATGAGTGTTCAATTATTTTCAAATGAAAGTCTGGCTTTAAAAATGGTTCAAGAATTAAGTCTTTTGCATGTGATGATCATAAGTCTCAAATTAATGATGAGCAACATACTAATACAGAATACTCTTCATGGTAATATATATAAATATATTTGAATATTCTGATATCATAGCTTTTAGCAATGTAATAATTTAATTTTGTTCCAGATCCTGACAAGAATTATCATTATGTTATCGACTGTGCTAAACGAGTTATGAAAGAACATTGCTATTGGCCTTTAGTATCCGATTTTAATAATGTTCTATCACATAAATCTGTTGCATTAGTTTTCTTGCGAGATGATGCTTTAATTGATATGTGGTTCCAATTTTTGTCCATGTTACAGGGTATGTTAATATTAACTTTTATCTCACTAATATCTCAATCTGAAGTCTTTCTCTTGATGAGCCATCTATTAGTTTATTGTGTATACAATACTTTATATACAGTAGAATCTCACTAATATGACACTATTTACTGGAATTACGGGAATGTTGAATTACAGGATTATAGTGAAAAAGTCATAATTTTTAATGTGTGATATTAAAAAAGTGCAAAAAAAATCCAGAAAAAGATTCATGGCGCTAGTGTAAATTCATGTGTGTGTGTTAATATTTAAGGGGACAGTATATCAATTTCAAAATTTATATGATGATATAAAACTGTATATCAAAACATATGGAATGAAATAAAAATCTGTACAAACTATATAAATCTTTGAAATTGATGTGCTGGCCCCTTAAATATTAACAACATATATCTTAACATCAAAATTAAATAACAACTTCAATTATTCCTTTTGTTTAGGAATGAATGTGAATGTTCGAGAATTGGGAAGTCATGTAGAGTTTGAACCCAGCTCATATTATGCTGCATTTTCTTGTGAATTGGAAGCTAGTGCTTACCCTATGTGGTCAGTAATTTCACATTTGACTGATGGGACACATGTTGAACTTGCCAAAAAAATTATACATGTATGCCAAAATTACTTGCGAGAATGGCTTGATGCTGTTTATTTCACAAGTGGAAAAATGGACAAGGTATAACCTCTATATGTATATCAATATTTTTTAGTTATTTAGAGCTATTTTCTCATAAAAATATTTTTATTTTCAGTCAGATACTATGCATGCTTCTTTCCACTTTCCATTGCATCGATATTTGGCTGCTTTTATAAGTCAAGCTGTGCGTGTAATGGGAGTTCCATTAGTTGAAGTACTACCAGATCAAGAAATGTTGTCTTTATTGATGATGCACCCACTACGTGTTCAGGTAAGATTTTATTTTTTTATTATATTTATTGTTTAATAATACAACTACATTTTATAAAAAAATGTTTTGGTGTTATTTATTAGTCGCTTAATTTCATTGGAAGAATGTATAAACATGCATACATATTTAATTCTAAATACACTTAAATGTAGTTTTTATCACCAAACTAAGTTATAAAATCAAAATATTTGATATCCTGAAATTCTTCAGTCACAAAATGTCGCGTAACACTACTAATTTCAATTAACAGCTTGTTATAGTTATTCATTTTATGTTAATCTTCATATAATTGTGTTTATAAACAAACTATATAAAAGACTACACACGTTCTGAAAATTAACAATTAGCAACATTATGATGATTATTATTGCTTTTTTATTTAAAATTATTTTCATATTCTGAGGATTTCTGACAACTGAGATTTTCTTGGCGTCTTCTACTGAGCGGCTGGTTGTTCGTTTTCAGTAGATTTTTCAGATTCGGCGGGAAAATCTACGTAAACATGCTTGCTAAAATCATATGTTATTATCTTCGGACCAACAAATCCACCATATCCCTGAAATATGTTGTAATTAGAAATGTGTTTTCTAGTATTTTTATAAATATGTGTTTCAATGTCAGGAAATCAAAATAGATTTAAAACTTCAATCAATACCCTTTGCCCTTTATGATATAGACCAGCTCCTGCCAATGGAACGGGGGCAGCTGGTGTAACATCTTGAGCGTCCAAAAATGGTACTGTTGTCTGGGCGGCGTCTGTATCGATATCGCTATGTGAGAAAATGATGTACTGGTCATTTTGTGAATCTATGAACGACGGAGTTTTGGTTCGAGTCGGAACATCTGGGTTTCGTAACATAACTCTCGTCCTAAAGCGATATAGAGAAAATTCTTTATTCAAAGCAAGTTCTAAACAGTTTACTTAAACTTTCAATAATTTTTAATTGTAATAAATATTCTTACCTGGGTTTACTTAGTGTAGCTTCTGTATTGTCATTTGAAATCCAAAAGCTTTTCATAGATGAATCAATTAGTTCACCACTTGTGAAATTCAACGGAGTGCCTTGTACTTCAAAATTTAAATGCGTTCCTACCATTTTAAACCGAATACCTAAGATAATAATGTCTTTTAGCTAATCTTATTTTCATAGAGATACAAATTATTTTACTATTACTGAAAATTTCAATACATGATTACTGAATGATAATCGCAAATGTAATATATAATTCTAATATAATGATTAAATTATGTACATACTAGCCACCGCCCTTCACATATATAATACCTATTTGCATATTGTAGTTTTATTATCAAACCTTCTAGTTTTATTGGCCTTTATGTGCTTTTATTTTTTAATGAATTTAATAGTATTATTTATACTATCTGTTTCAATAATTTTACCATGTGATCATTATATATTCCTATTATCTTCATGTACCTGTCATTACATATCCTTCTGGCACGATCAGGTCGTCCAAATCCATAGCTCGTTTGTCCCATGTCATGGTGTGGTAATCGATACCATTGAATACATTCTTATCCGTAATTTGATAGTCGTCTACCGGTTTCCATCGCATTGATGTAACATTAATATTTCCCTGGGGTAATAATACTGCTTCTTGAATTTGCAAGTGTATTATTCGATTCTTTTTCACAAAACGCAACCCTGTGACAACCCTAAATAATAAAATATAATCACAAATTGAACTCATAACTTGCCAAATAATATCATTGCACTGTTTTTGATATTGTTTTCCTTTCTTGTTTAGATAAATTCTGTTGTTACTTACATATTATTTGAGGTGTTGGCCAAAACTTCTCGCAGATTGAAAAATCTATCGGATTTGTGCGATTGCTCATCGCATATGCACAAGCAATATGAACAGTGCCAAAACAACCAACGCCACCAGGAATCCACCTATAGAATAGAAAATTTTTATATTAGGCATAATATAAAAATATTTTTCATAGTATAAAAAAATATTGGATAATATTTTTGCCAACTTGTTTTTGTTCGTGGTGTAAGAGTGGTTTAAGATGTGGGGTTGTGATTGCTTAATAGGCTTAAAGTTGACGATCCATGTATTGACTATACTATTGATACGTACCTTTGTTGTATGATTTGCGCAGGTGCCTACTCTACCTAGTTGTCTTCCATTTTCATATTCTATCCAATTATATCTTCTATTGCTTGTTTTGTAATCCTGAGAAATTGTAATTGTAATTAACAATCAATAGAGTTATTTTTCACTTTATTTTTTTCAGAATTCTCAACCTCATTAGTTACTCAGAATGTAATTGATAGGAAAAATATTAGGAAATTTTATTCTTTTCTTATTTGAAAATTTTCTGTTGAGCTATTTCGTTCGCACGGTTTTGTACTGGTTATCATTATTATTAGTTATTATTACAAGAAACTCACAAATCAGATAAATGTCAAACAAAGATTTTTAAGTGTCCAAAATTGAAAATTATCTAGCTTACCGCAGGGCATATCCACATGTCCGAATCGACATATTGGCACTTTAGTACTTTTCCGTTGCATGTAGGTTGTTGGGCGCAATAACCGTCTTTATAACAGCCTTCGACTTGCGCATATTTGTAAAATGAACAAGTCTCTTTGCATGTAAATTCTGGGTTAAGATTTACTTCATTCTCTATAAAGCCTTGAAGCAAACGCGTTACTTGTAAATATGTCTCACCTATACAGAAAATATGGAAGAAATATATATTCAAGTGGTAATAGTTTCATGACAGTACACAAAATAATTTTCGAAAACTTTTATCCAGTTCTCGATTTTTTTATTAAGTTTTTTATACTATGAGGCTAAAACTCATAAAATGTTTGTTTCTGCTACAATAGAGAAAATGTCATTTTAAATCATGTGAAACGTTTAAAAATTGTGTTTAGTCTTCTGTTTTAAGATCTAATTTCCTTTCACTATATTCATAGAATCTGCAACAAGCTTCTGTTTGCAATTATCGGTTCACTATTTTAATCAGATGTTGTTAAATATTTCAACGAAGTATGCATTTTATATATGAACTAGCAAACCCGACGAACTCCGTTTCGCCGCCAGATGGTTTCGTGAGAAAGATGAAGAAATTTTTTTGTTTGTTTTATATTTGAAAAGGAAAAATTTGATTTTATTATACAACAGTAATGAATTTATTTCGATTACAAAAATGAAGTGTTTTTTAGTTGAACTTCTCTAAGTAAATGAAAAAGTGAATCCGTAAATTATCCGTTTCATTGAAGTGCTCTTTGGTAAACCACATTTTTTGTTTTTTGGTCTGACGTTAACACAAACAAAGCGGATGGTTTTCCAACTCGTGAAAAGGCAACGTATAACTGCCCATGTGAAAAACAATGATTTTCTAAATAATCTATTTGAAATTTATCCCGCAAACACTAAGCGATTGGCCTTGCGACTTGTTATTGCGAACGCAAGGCGAACTGGAAATTGCAATCGTTTGAAGTCAAACGGACCAGTCGGAATCATTGGTATGTCACCAAATCGCCAGCAATTTTTGATTGAATGGTAAAATTCAGTGTGTGTACATGATTATTCTTTGCGGCAAGAATTGCTCGTTGACTTAACTAAGCATAATTCTGATAATTCTCACTAATGTCGTTACTCGAATTTTTAATTACGGTGCGTGAAGTTCCAGCAGCTTGCATTAAGGCACGATGCCATGCACAACCAATTTTCTTAGCTATAAACCTTGCGGAGCCCGAGACCTTTCCAACGAATGCAAAATTGTCGAAATCGGTTCGTGCGTTCTGGAGTTATTTCGTCAGGAAGAAAAACCCGACTTATTTTTATATATATAGAAGATATTTTGAAATCTAATCGAATTGAGCATGTATATAACTACATAACTTGTGCATTGCAGTTTCTCCCGAAAGACAGCGCTGTGAGAATTTAGTTATTGACTCATTTAGTGTTTTCTAATTTCTAGGAACATAATTTTAAAATCTACTATATATAAATAGTTGTACCTTCTTCGTGTATATCTGGATCGCATATCCAGAGTTCCCTACTTGCTTTCTCCATAGCTGCTCTGGCAGCGTCAGCGGTAGCTATTAGGCGCTCCTCATATCTTTTGCGCATAAGTTGAGTTTCCAAAGTAAAATTGCCTGCAATCATTATAGCCGTTATTATGATTTTAAGGATCTTGATCATGTCCCCAGAAATAAAATGTAAAGCTTTTTACCTTTGTCATAAAGTTTAAGTAACATATAAGAGAAGTGCATCATGCTGTATCCTCTCAGCTCTGCTAGAGCGACCGCCGTATACAATTGGTAAATAGTTTGCTGCGGCGATTGTTTTAATGCACATGTTGTAACAGATGATTCCTGTAAATCGAATTAAATATTTAAAGAACTTTTGAACTTCAAGAGAATACAAAAAACAATTGCCTTAAACTTTCGTTTTGTAATCGTCTCTTTTCTTATTCTCGCATATTTCAATTAAATATTACATATTTCAAATATACATATGTTGGCTCTATAAAAATGATAAAGCAGTGAAATTGAAATGGTGCATTCTCGATGAGCATGCTACTCATTATTAGATTCTACACTGTAGAATCTACAGTCATTTTTGTAAAGCACATCTTATGTTTTACAGTCATTACCTTTTATTTCAACACATTAGAAGTGCATTTTCTAAATTAATGAATAACTTTATAAGATGACAAATATACTTCAAAATCTGCAACTAATAAGTATATGAGCTTTTGGTCAAACAAATTCAATGAAACTTTTAAATTTATAGAATCAAAATTACAATCATCACGTTCACTGCGTCGTATTATGCATTTCAAACAAAGAGCAAATATGGAAGTTATATATATACTGATGTGTATATATATATATATATATTAGGGTGGTCCTTAAAATGGTCATTTTCGAATTTCCTTGCTCCCAGGGGCTCAAATGGTTCCAAATAGATAAAAAACAATTCTCTGAAAGTTTTAGCTCTTAATATTAACGTTTAGATAGAGCGCAATTCAATCAAAGTTTTGTATGGAAATAGCATGGAAAATTTTTCAGAAATTTTAAAAATATTTTTTAGATGTAATTTAGCGAACAAATGAATGAATAAAACTCATTCATTTGTCGCTAAGTTATACCTAAAACTATTTTTTTTTATTTTAAAATTTTTTTCCATGCTCTTTCCATACAAACTTTGATTGAATTGCGCTCCATCTGAAGCTAAAACTTTCAGAGAATTGTTTTTTATCAAATTGGAACCATTTGAGCCCCTAGGAGCAAGGAAATTCGAAAATGATCATTTTAAGGACCACCCTAATATATATATATATATATATATATATATGTATGTATATATTGATTTAGAAATATGAACAAACAACGCTCTTTTTTGCACTAATTTATTAAATAATAATTTTACAAATGTTTCTAAACTAGTTTCGAGTATAATGGACGACTTGTAACGAATAACACATAATGCTAATTTAGGTTTCCATATGTTAGATTTTAAATCATAACACACTGATAAACCTAGTCTCAAAACGTTTGTAAAATTATTATTTAATAAATTAGTGCAAAAAAGAGTGTTGTTTGTTCATATTTCTAAATTAATATCTATATCTATCCACTCAGAATACATTTGATATATATATATATATATATATATATATATATATATATATATATATATATATATATAAACCGATTGTTTGAAACAATTTATTCAGTCATTATTTTAAATTATTATTAAATATTTCACAAAATTGCTAGGTCAAACCTCAAGTTGAATGTAACTGTATTCGTTTACTTTCGTGCGAATTCTTGGAACATTACCATTCGCGGTTAAAAACTTTTTGTGTAAGAAATATGAATAAAATAACAAAATCGAGTCAGACAAAATGAAGTATTGACGTTTGTTATTAGGTTATATTACATATTTTAGCCATTTTCGTTTTCGCTTGTGTTGCATATAAATTCGAGCATATAAAATAACGTGTTGATAGTTGATTTTTATAAAATGGATTGTAGAAGAATCGCTACTATAATTTATGACGCACCAAAAATAAAAGCGACATACATGTTTGCAAAATATAGATAAAATCAAATCGGACACGAAAAAAATTCAATCATCGTATTGCAGGCCTGTGTTTGTAATATTTGTATCCGGTGTAGAGCGATCAGTAGGTTCACATGTACTCAAAAAGTATTCGTATTGTACTTGTAACATTCATAGTTCACCGCTAAGCATTAATATTGAATTGATTCTGAACAAGACAAATTATTTTTTATTAATTCATTACATAATCGAATAATTTATTAAATTATGTAACGTGGTAAGTCACTTTTGATGCAAAGGACTTGCAAATATAGATGCAAAAAATATTCCTTACCCTCATCAGTTTTTATATGGCTTAATGGCAATATTTGAAGTTTTATTCCGGTCAAATAGATTAATCAAACTAAAATTGTTTAAATCAAGCCGCATTTATTATAGCGAAATCGATTATATATTAGTCAAAAATATTAAGTTATCATGTTTTATATAGGTTTTTATAATATTAGGTTGTCAAATATCTCCCTTCCGCTTTTTTGCTTTTGGTTTATAATACAAATAGGCGGAAGGGAGATATTTGACAACCTATGAAATAGAAGAAAAGGATTTTTTCCTAGGTTTAACGTTGATGGTAAATCGCATAGTTCTTTTCGCGATCCATCTATCGAAGAAATTTTCTTTAGAATACAAATTGTTATTCTATGAGCAAAAAATTGTATTTGAAAGAATTAATCTCCATGTGTTTATTAAGCGGTTATTAAACTACGTAAAAAAGTTATTTTTTAAATTTATATAATTTGTTCATTTTATTGTTTTTAACTTTTTTTGCTCTTAGTACAAATATACTTCTGATTTCAAAGTCTAATGGCATTAGACTAATGCATTAGCTTAGCTGACTTGTTAATTTGTCTTGTAACTAATTGAACTAAATCTTTTCTGGTTAATCCATTAGCAACAGCATTGCAAACATTGATCACGCTTCTAAAATTATCAGTATCAATTATAAAATTCAATTGTTATAATAATTAATTCTTAGAAACCGTCAATTTTTTGCCACAATTTTAAAAAAATAAAACATGAAGTTATTAAAAACA